GGCCCATTAGCATACTGAAGATTTGTCATTTTTGTATCTCAAAAAGTATTTCAAATTTTTACACGAATTTTTTTACATCATACATTGTTGTTGTGTCAACATGCTAGATTTTTTTCAGATTTTTTAAAACATTTTGTGGCCTCCGGTGCACCGATAGCACCACAAGTGCAGGTGCACCAGATACATTCCCCTTTGGACCCTACCAGATTCTAGCATGTGTTGATGTTATTCCATATAAACACCAGGAGGTACCTTCCACTTCTCAAGTGTACCCTATATTTTCACGTCTCTAAGATTCGATGTGTTGTTACCCTGGCCACTTTCTCAGGTATCCTCTTCCTCTGAATTATAACCCCCATGTCCCTATGCAAGTTTTGGTGAGCCATTTGTATGAGTAATAAAGAGAGATCGTGAAACAAAAGTTGGCTAAATCCTATGCAAAACTAAATAGTAAGAGAAATTCATCACGGTGATTATTAGTGGAACACCAAAGTGAAACAGAGAGAATGAAGAGTCGGTTACAATGACCGAATTGTTGAGGAATCAAGTTGAAAGAACAACATTATGTGTCATAACTATTGCATAAAGATTTTCATATATGTCTGTACGTCATAAACAACGTACATAGTGGTTCTTCATGTATTGACTATTTTGATTCAATTATGGAACTAGGTTTCTACTGGGTTTGCGTCCCTAGTTACGCAGAAGTCCAAGCACAGAAGCGAATGATCGGATCTTACCAACATACTCGAAAAAAGTATTTTATAGTGGGGTACGCATTCTTGACAAGCAGTGTATTCACTCTAGCCATGTCAAATAAGACAACCCAAAGCCGTTGCACCGACAAATAACATATCGTGGATCTTATGTGACACTAAAACTTCACGATCAAATCTTGATTATGATAGGAGAGGGACGTTGATGTTCCAAACATTGGGTTCAAGAGCTCGGTTTGATAGATATAAACCTAAGTGACCGGCTTTACACATCAAAAAAGAAAGCTCGAAGTCCCTGCGAGCTGAAACCTCTTCTTGAAGAGTTCTGAGACATCGTTCCGGCTAATTCAAATATCTAACTAAGCGAATTATGAGGCTGGAATCTTCCTCAATGTTATGGTGAAGATTTTGTGGTCCAACGTCTTGCAATACTAAGTGTCCGTCTCTAGCCTGCCTACCCGAGTACGCCCATCACTCACGGCTTCCCATTTTTTTTGGATGGTCGACTCATGTGGCTTTTAGAAGCCTTTATCGGTAATCAAATTCATGCAGGTGAATGAGTGTGAGTGTCGCTGCTCTATGTGAGTACTAGTTGATTGTTCGTGCGTTGCCACGGGACATCATACCCTACGAACAAGACAAATGTCCATCCGTAGGTGTGTGTTTCTCTGATATGATATGTTAACATTTACGATATACAACACGGAGTGAAGTTTTCTGACCATGTATTGAACCAAAAGGTCTTTCCCTTCAAAATTTAAATTTGTCCACAAAGTATGTGTCTTACTCCCACTCAACTCCCTTCCTATCAATCACCATGTCCATTTCTCCAAACCTAGCTAAGTGCCACCTGAAATACGAGAAGATAAAGTATAAATATGAACAACAGAGTAACAAAAGGCACGGGATTACTCATTCTCTCATCTTTACATATCCTTTTTGTACAGCTGGAGTAGAAGTTGAGCCAATACCAGAAATTATGTCATAGATAACATCTTCTGTTGAAGATAAGACGGAAACCAAATCTGATAGGTTCATGCTCAATCTCCAATTCCAGAAGACCAAACCATAATCAAATCTGAACGCAGCACCAGACTCGACTGATTGGTTACTTCAGTCACCATATCCATTTTCCATGGTAAAATCTCAAACTTTGGAACTCTAAACTTTGGACCTGACTGGACTGAGATCGTCTCGATATTTTCCACTGTTGTTTGAATCCTTGGATATCTTTCTTTATATAAGCACAACAGAAAATTTTAGAATGGAAGTGGGCATACTATTCTAGAATGCTCTGAATCATTCTAGATGGCTACATGTTCATTACATTCTTTTTCCAGTGCCAACACCTTGTACTTACAAGAATATATGATCTATCTAAAAGTATGTACAGTGAATAGAATGCTATGTGAATTATTCTATGCATTAAGTGCCCCTGATTGTGTAGGAATAAGGATAACAGCGAGTTGCTTACAGATAACCTTTGCTATGACATCATAGATGGCATTTGCGACAAAGCACTATCAGTAACAAGATCAAACAAAAATGAAACAACAACAACAAAAATGGCGCAAGAAACAACTATCGCTTCATACCAAGCGCACATTATTTTAGAAAGAGGTTTATTGCAGGAAGAAGATAGCACTTGCCTGCAAAACAGGCTAGCCTAGATAATGAGTAAACTTAGTCAATCAATGATTCATCATGGATAATAATCGCCTAGTTGCCAACACCTCAAATAACCAGTGGCATAATAAGAACACTAAAAAGAGATACTATTATATTTTTACAATAAAAGAGAAGAATAAGTTTGTCAGAAACATCGTCACCAATAATTTTTTATTAAACTTGAAGTTGAAAGAAGCCTGTGCACGAAACATAAAATGTGGAATTCATGATTTTATTGGGTTGCCTTTGTCTGCAGAATACAAACTAAACCTCGATAATGATGTATGAGGCTTGATTTTCACTAATACTGCTAGGAATCATCCGTACCAAGCGCACATTATTTTAGAAAGAGGTTTATTGCAGGAAGAAGATAGCACTTGCTTGCAAAACAGGCTAGCCTAGATAATGAGTAAACTTAGTCAATCAATGATTCATCATGGATAATAATCGCCTAGTTGCCAACACCTCAAATAACCAGTGGCATAATAAGCGACACTAAAATGAGATACTATTATATTTTTACAGTAAAAGAGAAGAATAAGTTTGTCAGAAACATCGTCACCAATAATTTTTTATTGGACAGGAAGTTGAAAGAAGCCTGTGCACAAAACATAAAATGTGGAATTCATGATTTTATTGGGTTGCCTTTGTCTGCAGAATACAAACTAAACCTCGATAATGATGTATGAGGCTTGATTTTTACTAATACTGCTAGGAATCATCCGTGGAAGGCTACTACAAAAATATATGTTACTACACATGTCTGAACATATGACACACCTAACCCTTCAAGGGGGCAATACAAAAACAAGGAAACAATAATTCATGAATATGCACATGAATCTAGAGGACAGTTCAGTATAAAAGATGTGTAACCAAATATGTATATGTACAAACATATGATAATCAAACTACTGCCCGGCAGTCTCTCACTCTCCTCTCTAATTCTCCACAAAATGTATATGGGCAAACCTATGACGACCAAACTATCGTGCATCCTCCTCTCCTCTCACAGAAGTCAAGTAGGAGCACAACACAGTAGACCGTTGATAACTGAAAATCGCTTAGTTTTCTAGATTCAGAGAACATTCACAAAACAGCAGGAGTTAACTCAACAAATCAAAGAATCACCTAATAAGTGAAGTTACAGTTACACACAGACAAGTAGTTGTATACAATGGACAGTGATGCTCAAACTAAAATTTTTGATATAGCTGTCGGTATCAGCGAAAATGCATAGGAGCACCTGCGGGCTACCTCCCTTGATATCTCACCATTTAATATGCATAGGGATTTGCACCACTATATTAGCATGCTTGTATTCTTTGTTTTAGTTCGTTCTGCATTTTCTTGTATAAGTAGTATGTCTGCACGGACTGTCCCTCTCCTGGCCCACTTATCCCCATGCTCTCGTGCCAACCCCCAACAACCAACAACGACTCATTAACTTGTGAATCACATGCATGCAGATTTTGTTGATCTCAGAGTTTTGAGTCATGCAACACATCTAATATTCAGTTTGTCCCAAGTTTTTTAAATACAATATTATTTGAACTCTAAAAATATCTTTCACAACTTTATGTTTTTGTACCAGTTTTAAAATTGTAATATCGTTTCAACTTTGAAAGTATTTAATGTTTAATCCATTTGAATAATTTTCAAGATTTAGTAAATGTGAAATCAAATATATTTCATTAAGTTCTTTGTCTTCTATAAACTCAGAATCTCGTAATGCGATAATTAAAGTAAATACTGGATTTCATGATTGTTAAAATTTCAAATAAAAAAGAATGATAATTCCAATATTGCAATTCTTGAAAAAATCATGATACAAATTCCACGAAATTACGACTTCCATTTTTTGTTTCTAGTGAAACGCGAGAACTCAATGGTAATAATTCTAGAAAATTTACTAATGCAAATCTCTGGACTTTCTACCATAAAAAAGTTATGTTGTACTTACGTTGCTTGCTGATTATGAGTGCAGCTGTATGTAACCATTTATCTTCATGGTCCAGCAAAGATGAATTAACACTAATTACATTGCATACTGTCGTTTGGTTTCTCCAACACATTTTTTACGTACTCCCTCCATTCCACAATGTAGTGCTTCCTCTATCCACGTGCTTCAACTTTGACCGTAAATTTAACTACCAAGACCGATTGCGGCGGAAGCAAAAATTATATCAGTGAATTCGTATTCGAAAGAAGTTTTCAATTATATAATTTTTTCTCCCGCCGCAGTTGGTCTCGTTGGTTAAATTTATGGTCAGAGTCGGACCTCGGGAAGCGCTGGCGCACTATATTTTAGAATGGATGGAGTAGTAACTATCTGACATCCATTACCTGCCAACACGCATGAATTAACCATGTGTGGACACAAAGTCAATGCACATTTACTTCTGGCATACCATCAACAATTCAAAAAGCATGTCCTGCGTCTGTTCAAACTTTGCCTTTACTTCACTACAATGTCATCTGAGTATTAAAACTGTATTGCTTCAATAAAGAAACTAAAAGGATTTCAATCCGCATCCCAATGGACATTGATTGTGGTTCAGATTACAGGGAGGTGCGCCTCCGTGTGCTCTTCGTCCGCCTCCTCGGTATCAGAGGCTACTTGAGCACCCCTATAAGAGACTGAAGCCGGTAATCCTTGTCGTAAGACGGCAGGATAAACAAACTGTACTTCTCAGCAGGGTAAAAACGACAGGCAGGGAACCTACCACAGCCAACACAAACAAAAGGGCAAACACCTATCGTGCATGCCATGCCACAGCCAGATTAACTTGGACGACCAATCAATGGAGATATCAAAACGACTCACCAGTCAACGACATACATGGGCAGACCTTGACAGTAAAGTGTGAATGGAGAAGACAGGGTTACACAGGAGTCTTACAAGTGCATGCATTCGATCTTGTGGATCTGCGCCGGCATTTCCGCGTACGCTGCAAGGCTCACTGGTGCCGCAGCCTACGCAGGTGCCGCATCGGCACCACTGTCGACGTGCTCGACGGATACAAGCTCACCGGTGCCACCCTCTCCTCTCGCTCCCGTGTGGGAGCCCCGGGAGGGCGTGCTGTTGGCGCCAGTCTCGTTGATGGCCGGGACGACGTCCAGTTGATAGGCGAGCTCGCACGCCGACGCGTGTGTCAGCGTCCGGGTCAGTGTCGCCATGCTCACCACCACCATGTTCTCCGTCAAGTATGGCATCTCGGGTGGCGGGTTCGCCGCCGCTTTCCCCAAGAGGGGCGGCTTAAGAAGACGCCGCCGTGGGTTGCGGCTCCTCCTACACCGGCGACCCCAAGCACGGCAGTAAGGCGAGGTGATATGCAGGCGAAGGTGAAGGGCGGGCGTCCTGGCAGAGGAGTAGACATGTTAGGGCGCGGATCCACCGCTCCAAAGAGATGGTATGGCTACAGTGTGCTGCCGCTCGAAGTCATCGGCGGCGATAGGGCCACATGATTGAGGGAGATGGATTTGGGGAAGGGGAGTGGGCGGTGGGACGTGCGTATCGTGGGTTGTTCTATTTTTTTTTCTTTCGTGCGGGATGGGTGGGATCGTGTGAGGAGATTCTTTTTTCAAGTACGAGCAGGGGTGGAGGGTTGGGTTATCGAACGAGGTGGAGGCGGGATCGAACGAGGTGGTCGAACCACACAAAGGGAGGTCGAACCATCACGACGTTCGATACCCCTTAGGCCTTCTTTGGTTCATAGGATAGGAATTTTATAGGAATAGGAAAATCATAGGAAGTGAGATGACATGCATGTCAATTCCTATAGAGAAAGAGATGTCATTTGATGCATAGGATATGATTTTTTCCATCGAGTCTAGGCTAATGTTTTTTTTCCTTCAAAACGTGAAGGATTGATTCCTATCCTACATAGGAATAGGAATCCATTCCTACAAATCAAAAGGCTTCAAAGAATTTTTTCTTTGCAAATCCTATCATATAGAATTTCTACAAAAATCCTACAAACCAAAGGAGGCTTTTGTAGGATTTTCATATCATAGGATTTCTATAGAAAAAATTCCTTCAGAGCTCTTTGGTTTGTAGGAATGAAATCTTATTCCTATAGAGGAATTCTTCCTATCCTCCACATTTCATAAGAAAATAAATATTAGCCTAGACTCAATGGAAAAAATCCTATGTTGTGAATCAAAGGGCATCTCCTTTTTTATTTCTATGCATAGGATTTGAGATGCATGTCATCTCATTTCCTATGACTTTCCTATTCCTATGATTTTTCAATCCTATGAACCAAATGATGCCTTAATAGTAGAGATAAATAGCAAAACACTAGCACATTTGGGGAGACCGACGGCGAAAACTACCACCTTTTAAATTTTGACCAAAAACTATCACTTTGCAGGTAATATGTAGCAAGAAAATACCATTCAGTTAAGCACCGGTTCAGCCGTTTGAAACGTGATTATGATATGGTTGGCCCACTCGTAAACGTTGATGGGCCACAATAGTCAACTTGGTTAGATTGACCCACCCTTTGGGTGTTATGACACGTGTCACAATAATCAACTTTGTTAGATTTAGCAGGTACGTACGAGTGGCAGCAAGGTTAGCAATCACAGACAATCATGAAGCTTCTCTTACGCATAGATTTAGCTGCGCTAGCCCTGATCATACTCGACGGCGCTGTTACCTGCTTCAGGGATTAATGCAGATTCAGATGCAGGGATTTGTATTTCTCTATGTAAGCTGTTTCCCAGATTAATCCAAGGCGCTGTTTGCCTGTTAAAAAAAATCTTTCCTTGCAGGCACATCGTCAGGAAGCACCACCGACCTGACACGTATACGTCGTGTCTCCACACGTTGAGCTGTGCGCGTATCCACTGCGCGGCAAATGATGGCGCCTTCAAAGCGTTTTGCAGGCATTGGGGTTTGGCTGCCCCCGCTGCAGTTCTGATTTGCCCTGCCCCGTTTTTATCCGTCTCCAGAAACCAACCAATCTCCAGGCTCTGCAGCGAGTCATAATTTTCATTTGTGATGCAGGTAGTACTGCGGTCCGGTCCAGAGCGAGCAGAAATGCTCACTGCTCACTGGTTGGTGGTAAAACTAATGGTGTGAATTGCGGTTAGGAGAAAGATTGTTCTCCGTTTCACTGACCCCGAAAGAAAAAGGGATATCAGAGCCAGCCAGGCAGAATGATAGAATGGCTTCAGAAATTACACAAGGAAACATGTAAGCAGCTAACTGAGGACAGCACAGCCTGCTGGGCAGATCAGCTCTGTCAGCTCCCTTCATTTTTTTTACCGCTGCATGATTCTTCCACTTGACGATTTTTTCCCACCCAAGCCATGGCTCTGCACACAGAGCTCACTGCCGACTATCTTCGTGCGATATACAGTGCTAAATCGGCGTTACAGGCAGGAGCAGCAGCAACAGCGGCCCAGATTTGCCACCGAGAAAGCCCCGCGATGCTGCCCGTGAGCCCGCGATCGCCCCTCGTAACAGTCGCACCACCACACGTTTACTCACCCGGCCGGTGATTCCACTGCACCGCACTGCTGCTGCTCATGGCCTGATGGTGGCGGTCTGGTCGCACAGTGCAAAGCTCGGGCTTAACAGAGCGCCCGCTTGTCTCATTTGGAAAAACAAGGATGGGCGGATTCCCTTTGCATGTGAGCTGACACCCGCGCGATCGATTCGCTGCACTGCGCCGCACAGGGCTCGAGTCCCCATCAATGGCGTTGCGTTTGCTGTAGCGTGCACACCTCGCCTCCCCTGCCGCCGATCCGGCGCTCTCTCTCTCTCGATCTTTCCGTGGTAGGTGAAACCGTTGCTAGCTGCTCTAGCTAGCTTGCCGACGAGCGTGGATAATGGTATAGGACTAGTAATTACAGTGCTTCTTGGGCACATGCTGCTGCTTGGCTTGGCTCCACTGACGAACTGACTTGTTTTACTAGCACTTTTAAGCTACACATATGCAGCTACACACTACCCTTCATGTACCTAGGGATTTCGATTCATCACCGTAAGCTTACTAATAAAGAATGGAAATGTATCGAGTATCGGTTTGAAAAGAGGCTGAGTTGCTGGAAGGGCAAACTCTTGTCTTATGGAGGAAGATTGGTGCTTATTAATTCTGTACTTACAAGTATGCCCATGTTTCTCCTTTCTTTCTTTGAAGTCCCGGTTGGGGTACGGAAAAGATTGGACTTTTATCGATCTAGATTTTTCTGGCAAATTGACGAGAACAAAAATAAGTATCGTTTGGCAAAGTGGGATGTAATTTGTAGACCAAAGAACCAGGGAGGCTTGGGAATTGAAAACTTGGAGGTGAAAAATAGGTGCTTACTCAGCAAATGGCTATACCGGTTATCCATAGAAAGAGATGGAGTTTGGGCTCAACTATTGCGTAACAAATATCTCTATGCCAAAACATTAGCCCAGGTTACGGCAAAAGCGACTGACTCACCATTCTGGAAAGGAATTATGAGGACGAAAGTGGCTTTCTTCAACAGGATTAAATTTATCGTCGAGAATGGACGGGATACTCGATTTTGGGAGGATACTTGGTTAGGAGATTCGCCGCTGGCCTTACAGTATCCATCCCTATACAACATTGCGCAACGGAAAGAGGTTTCCGTTGCTACAGTGTTGGGTACTACTCCGCTTAACATACAGTTTAGACGGTCTGTTATTGGTGACCGTTGGACTAGGTGGATACATCTTGTGCGTAGGTTAACGGAGGTTAACCTTTTGGATGTACCAGACACTATGCAATGGAAGCTTTTCAGCTCAGGTGTCTTCTCGGTTAAATCCATGTACACGGATTTGATTAATAGCGGGACTATCCCGAGGATGGTTCATATTTGGAAAGTTAAGGTGCCCTTGAAGATAAAAGTTTTTATGTGGTTTGCGCATAAGGGTGTCATTCTTACTAAAGATAACTTAGTTAAGCGTAAGTGGGAAGGAAATAAAAGATGTTGCTTTTGTGATCAGGATGAAACAATAGAACATCTATTTATCAATTGTCCACTTGCTAAACTGCTTTGGAGAACTATTCATGCTACATTTAACATAACTCCACCTCTCACGACATCACATTTGTTTGATAACTGGTTGGCTGGAGTGGAGCCAAAGTCTGCGGCACATATCCGAGTGGGAGCATGTGCATTATTTTGGTCTTTATGGAATTGTCGCAATGACGTTGCCTTTAACTGTAGCGACCCGACCTCAGATGGTCAAGTCTCTGTGCTTCAGTGTCATCCCTGGATCGGTAATGCTGACACACACAGTACTCGAAGGATTTATAACAGAGTAGCAATCACACACTATTACATCGAATGTCTCCAAAGAGAACTTATTACAATAATATGGCTTAAGGCCATCTAATGCGATAACATCGGAAGGCTTGGAAGATAAGGTGAGTCCATCAACTCCAACGGCATAGCCGAGCTGCACGGCAACGACCTAACGAACCTTACTCCTCGTCTGAAAAGTCTGCAACATAACACGTTGCAATCCGAAAACGGGTCAGCACATGGAATATGCTGACAATATAACACAGTAGAGCAGAAATAGAATAATGCTATCACTACATGCATATATGGCTGGTGGAAAGCTGTATGGTTGTAGTTTTGCGAAAAGCCAATTTTTCCCTACAGCAACGGAATAGATTTTAATTTTACTATCATGGTGGTTGAAACATCATTGAGAAGGTATCCCCAACTCAATCCCAATTAAAGTCAACCCAACAGTATTAATTAAGCATGGTGAGATACATGTGATAACCCAAGTACTAGATACTCAAGAATTGTCCATAATCGGGGACACGGCTAACCATGATTAGATTGTACACTCTGCAGAGGTTTGCGCACTTTTCCTCACAAGACTCGATTGCCTCCGTTGAATTTCTCGCACTACATGGTGTTTGAGAAACGGATTACCAAGACACAGTCCTTCAGAAACGTTAACTCTCTACTCCGGGTAGACCATACGAAACCTACAAAACCCACTACCTGCTGATCTACCTCTTCAAGAGCTTCACGTAACTTACTCAACTATGCTAGAGCCCATAATAGCTTGTGGCTGCACACGGAAGTTTCTAGCATGAATCATCTCAGTTCCCTTTGAGCCTGGGTGGCGGTCCATAGGAAGATCACACGGGTACCCCGGGATTTCCAAAAAAAACAGACAACACTGGGTTCCCCAGGTGCCTCAGTCCACCCAGTTGTTTGATTAAGTTGCC